CACAGGCATACAAATTGGATATTTTCCGGCGGCACACCTGGCAATGTCTTGCGGCACACTGGTGTGCCGCGGCACTTGGGTTGAAAAACACTGATCTTAGGTATTTAGCACACACCAAAAGTGCTTTGCAAGTCAATAACAGTGCGACACACGAATTAAATATTTTGTAGCAATTTACAGTGATTTTGTGGCTCACTTTCACCCTGTTCTGACCTGAAAATGTTTATACAGAAGGGAGACAACGAGGACACGAATGCTGGCTGCTGTTCCCGTCCAGTTTGCGGTTGAAGCAATCTAGGAAGTCTGCCACGCAGACCACCGCTGGATGGCAGCATCTAACAACTAAAGTTCCCCTTCCAGAGTTCCCTACGTTACGAAATTCATCCACCCATCCATCCATTTCCTCACGAAAATTCAGGAAAGCCCTATACATTTACACATTGATGTGTAAAAAAAAAGGGGGGGGGCTAATATATTGGGGGGAAAATGTCGAAAAATGAATAACTGAAAACAATTGTGGTCACGTTTCAGGTGTGGCCCACAAGCGTATATATACTTGTGAATAATTAACATTTGTACCACAACAACATGCCAGGACAATGACGCACGCAATTAATACGATATTGGAGCGTGGCTGGGAGACACGATGCGCTCCCAGAATGCTTTGCGGCACTAAAAATGTAAATAGTGTTAAAATAGTTGAAACAAAACGTGTCTTTTAACTTAAAAGACACGTTTTGTTTCAACTATTTCTTCATTTAGTCGTTTCATTATTAGCTAGGGGCAGCCCGGTAGTCCAGTGGTTAGCACGTCGACTTCACAGTGCAGAGGTACCGGGTTGAATTCCAGTTCCGGCCTCCCTGTGCGGAGTTTGCATGTTGTCCCCGGGCCTGCGTGGGTTTCCACTCCGGTTTCCTCCCACATTCCAAAAACATGCATGGCAGGCTGATTGGACGCTCTAAATTGTCCCTGGGTGTGAGTGTGGGCGTGGATGGTTGTTCGTCTCTGTGTGCTCTGCAATTGGCTGGCAACCAGTTCAGGGTGTCCCAGGCCTACTGCCCGAAGACAGCTGGGATAGGCTCCAGCACCCCCCGCGACCCTTGTGAGGATAAAGTGGTTCGGAAAATGAATGAATGAATTATTAGGTAGTATTTTATTCCGTTTGCTATGATGAGTTTGGTTTCGATGCGACACCGTGTTTGTCTATGTCTGCATGTCCCACATAATCGCTGCAGCAGCTTTTGATGCTCCTGGAAGGCATCGTCTTCTCTCAATCCGAGGTTGCACCAGCACATTACCCAGCTGCTTCGGTAAACACCTCTTTCCATATGTTGATACCGTATTGGCAGGTTTGCTTGGCATCTATTGTTAAAATGGACAATGACCCTGAACAGCAACGAAGCACTCATTGACAGTCAGTCACATGAGGGCCTGGATTGTTATCATATGATCTTTCACATTTTTGGAAGGGATCATGTCTGCTGGTGGTTGGGAGACAACAGCAGGGTCAAAACTGTCATGCATCAGATGAGAATGCCTCAAAATCAGGGTCCTCCTCACCTCAATCCTCTGTCTCGGACGCATTTTCCTCTATATCAGAATATCACTTTCACTGGCAAAGAGCAAAACCTCATGGACAGAAAACCTTTTCCCAGAGGACATTTTCAAGTGAGAGAGCATGCAGAATGCAGTAAACATAGAGCACAATGTGGAATAATTTGGGATGAGGGCTGTTGTGCAAGCTTCTATATGTTTGCTCCTGCTTCCTCTGAAGAGGAGGAATTTGGAATCCAACAATCAGGCCCTTGTGCTGTTCACTCTGTCGAAGATCTGCCTGACTCATCCTGCGGGCACACAATCTTCCCTGAGAATAGTGATTTCCCCTGTGGATTGAAAAAGGATGGAGGGTCGGTTAAATTTGGCATGATTTTGAAGAGGATGTGAGACGAATCTGATTTGTACCCTCATCGATCTGAAGGCAGTCGACGACTGTTGAAGCAACAACTTCATTCGTCTCCCCGTCACACAGAACCCCTTGAATCTCGTGCCCCAGTCAGCCAAAACAAAACAAAAAGCAGTCGTCATGCCAAACGATTTGAATTTGCACATAATGATGACATCCGTAGAGTGGGGCTTACTCGATGCCCATGCCGTGGTGCGTGCTGTCCGGTTCTCCACTGGGATTGGCCGAGGTAATAGCAAGGGGTCCAGTGATATCACAGAGGTGGCAGGTCACTGTGTGGTCAGAGATTCGGTTCTTGATGCTTTCTCTGGTGCCGACGCGGTCCCTACATTGCACCGACTTTCAACGTGTGGGACGATGACAGCATGCTCAGATAAAGACTTGTGGATTATTTGGCAGTTTTACCCAGCTTGAAGAGCCAGGCTCCTTTGCTGACGATGCAGCCGATGCCGCCTGGATACACCTTCCGCATGAACTCCCACAGCAAAGGACTAAAGGGTGGCTTGGCTTCCACCGGTTGCTTCAGACTAGAAATGCAAATATGAATGGGCTTCTCTGCTGGTCGGTTATGTAAGGTCATTAAAAAAAATGGAATCTATATGATAAGGATTAATTGAAATAGCACTAATCATTGGCTCATTTGTCATTGGTACCTTGATGCTATGGATTTTTTAGTAGCCGAGTCCTTGCAGGAGACAGCCGAAGCATTCACGGTGTCTGTGAGAATAGCGCATATTCCCCCTTTTTCCAGAATGCTGTGGCAATTTTCAAAAGCCCAGAGGTCAGTCGAGATTTTGCCACAGGGCACGC